ATATGTACTCAATACGAGCTGTATTATTTTTTAATAGTATTATAAGAATATTATAATAATATTTCAGAGGCCATTGCATCTAATCAGTGGTCCAGGATAGAAGTTAATTTCTTTAGAAAAGACTGAAAAAGTTAAATCTACTTTAGAGTGACTGAGCAAAAGAAATGATTGAAGAAAATGAGAAATATCACAGTTTTTGTTTGATTTGTGACACTAATACACATTTTTTGATGGGTTTAAACTCTTTTTGTCCTATTTAAAGGGTTCAGTGCGTAAAATGTAGTGACATTAACCACCGAGTTGCTTTTTTAATGTTTTTAAAGGAAGCCTGAGCAGCTTTGTGTGTCGGACTCTGATTAATTTTTTAATGCCTCTGTTTTGGTAGCAGCATCACCAGATTTAGGGGTAGTAGCCAAATATGTACTCAATACGAGCTGTATTATTTTTTAATAGTATTATAAGAATATTATAATAATATTTCAGAGGCCATTGCATCTAATCAGTGGTCCAGGATAGAAGTTAATTTCTTTAGAAAAGACTGAAAAAGTTAAATCTACTTTAGAGTGACTGAGCAAAAGAAATGATTGAAGAAAATGAGAAATATCACAGTTTTTGTTTGATTTGTGACACTAATACACATTTTTTGATGGGTTTAAACTCTTTTTGTCCTATTTAAAGGGCTCAGTGCGTAAAATGTAGTGACATTAACCACCGAGTTGCTTTTTAAATGTTTTTAAAGGAAACCTGAGCAGCTTTGTGTGTCGGACTCTGATTCACATGAGGCCGCCGATCTGGAAAACCTGTTTCCTGATGGATGATCTTAACTGAGGAATGGATTAATGACTCCCGCTAACAGGTCCTTTTTTCTTTTTTATTCTTTGAGATATCAGATCCACACAGGCTTGCAGCACTCCATTATCAGACCCAGCCAGCCCAGCTGTTTGCCCTCCAACATGGACACCCTGCCGCAGCGGCTCCAGCAGGCCGGATACGCCACGCACCTCGTGGGGAAATGGCACCTGGGCTTCTACAGGTGAGACAGAGCCGGGAAACCAGCGGGAAGCACACCTTAATCAACAATCCACCTGATCTGGACTGATTTACCCAACATTTTAGATGGAGTTTTCCTTAAAAAGCCTGAGGTTTTGTGTCCTTTTCAAATAAACTTTTGCATTTTGCTCAGAGTCAAACCATCAACCCTTAATTTTTACAGCTGCCTGTAATCTTTTCAGAGAAGATGTGTTTATGTTTATGTTTATGTTTATGCATTTGGCAGACGCTTTTATCCAAAGCGACTTACAGAGTAGACACAATATCACATTTATCATCACTACGACAATGAGCTATACAGAGGAGAAACAGTGATCAGAGTCAGTGGTGAGATAGAGATAGAGGTAGAGGGACTACAGAAGGAGCTGTGGGGGGGTAGAGGTACGGGTTAGGGTTAGGATAGGAGCTGTGGGGGGGTAGAGGTACGGGTTAGGGTTAGGATAGGAGCTGTGGGGGGTAGAGGTATGGGTTAGGGTTAGGATAGGATAGGCTCTGCTAGACCACAGTCCACTGATGACCGGGGTGATCGAGTTGTGAGATAAGCCTTTGCAAGAGGATTCAAGTCGATGGGAGCCGGACCCTTAAGCACTTTGTAGGCTAGCATCAGGGAGTTTGATTTGATAGGGGCAGCCAGAGGTAACCAGTGGAGTTCAATGAACAGAGGATTGCAGAGAATAAACAGATAAAGTGGAGTTTAGTGTATTAGGTTTGATGAAAAAACACACTGGAGCCATTTAAATATCATTTCAACTAAAAGCTACCAGGAGTGGGGTTCGAACCCACGAGGGCTTTTGCCCATTGGATCTTAAGTCCAACGCCTTAACCACTCGGCCATCCTGGTCTGAATAGGCTGTTTCTACATGTAGTTTTTATCGAAAATCTTCTCACCAATGATGTTCTTTTTGATCCATCCATCCATCCATTATCGTTACCACTTATTCCCTATAGGGATCGGGGGGAGAAATGGAGCCTATCCCAGTGGTCATGTTCTTTTTGATTTCACACTGAAATGTGATTTGGAAACGATCAATGACTTTTTTTAGGCCGTTTTACCCAAAATGGTGCAACACAACTCGTTCAGACTGAATTTCTGGTAGATTCTCCTTTTATACTCGGTCATGACATGCTTACCTGTTAGAGTTTGCCGAATTACTATTGTTTACCTTTGGTTAAACTATTATATTTTCTCTGTACAAAAGTCTTGAAGGGTTGTTAGGAACTATTTCTTACTTTTTAATCTAAATAGATAGATTAATCTAAATAAACACATTAAATATTTAATTTATTCTTACAACAATTTTGAGGGAAAATGTTAATGTGGCAGAGATTTATTAAATAGGTTTGAATAAGTCCAAAGATTTAAATTAGTGTTTGACACCTTTAAAGCTGATGCTCAGTTTTCTTTCTTCCTCCTGTTCTTTAGGAAAGCGTGTCTACCCACCAGAAAAGGTTTTGACACTTTCTTTGGCTCCTTAACAGGAAGTGTGGATTATTACAGGTGAGTAATGAGGATTTTTAATGGAATGGCAAGTAATTTTATAGGAACCAAATCGGTTTGAACTCCCGTCTCTTTTGGAATAGCTTGCTTTTTAATATAAGATCTGCCCAGACCGTAGAGGTGTTTAAGTCCTGTTTAAAAACCCATTTATTCGACATGGCTTTTAACATTTTAACCTTAGGTTGAGGTAGAGCACCTTTTTACCTTTTTATTATTTATTTATTTATTTGTTTGTTTATTTATTTATTTATTTATTTATTTATTTATTTATTTATTTATTTATTTATTTATTTTTACATTAAAATCACATATACATGTTTTTTATGTACAGCACTTTGGCAAACTTGGTTATTTTAAATGTGCTATATAAATAAAGTTTGACTTGACTTGACTTGACTTGACTCTTTTCTTTCTTATCTTTTCTTTCTTTTCTCTTCTTTCTTGTCCAGTTATGGTTCCTGCGATGGTCCCGGTTTGTGTGGATACGATCTCCACCACGACGAGGGCGTGGCGTGGGGCCAGGAGGGGAAATACTCGACTACGCTGTTCACTCAGAGAGCTCGAAAGATCCTGGAGAGCCACGACCCGACGAAGAGGCCGCTCTTCCTGCTACTTTCCCTGCAGGTACCCCCCCGTTAGCCCCCAGAGGAAGACCCGCTCCTCACAGAAAACACGTGTTACGTCCACCAAGGGCACAACATATTTGAGGACACGAAGACGAAAATGAGGATTCAAACGCATTTTATTTTACAACTCTCTGGACCTTTTCTTTATCTTCTTTTTCTTCTGTGAAGGAAGAGAGAATTAATCCTCAGGGTTCCCCGTGTCCCAAAAAATAAAAAAACACAAAAATCCCAAAGTATAAACAGAAAGTTGGACCTGATGAGCCGATCAAAAAAGAACAAAACGATACAGCAGAGGCCCAACCCAATACAGGGCCGTCGCTAGCCACTGCTAGTACCAGACTACAGGAAAAGAAAACTACTGAAAGGAAAACTCGAAAACAGGACAATCGGTCCCACCAGGTCAAAATCACAACCAAACAAAGAGCCAACAATACTACCGTGAGGCAGGCTGGATACGTCAAAACGAGGAAATACAAACCATCCAAGAGAAAAAACAATAAAAATAAATACAATGTGCCGAAAGCACATAACACACGTATCAGGGGATAAGAAGGCCCTAAACGCCACTTCAGGTTTCGTTTATCTGGAAAAAGCCTCCAAACATAAAGGTAGTATGAAGGTATGTGGCTTTATGTGAAGATCAGAGCACATTCCCAGGTTGTTTTATCTCAGATAAACAGGGATGTGATCAAAACAAGGCCACAATGTTTTCTGCAGGCAGGAAATAACAAGATAACCGTAATGAAAAGAAGCTGAAATCAGTGTACAGTATCTAAGTTTGCTTCTCGGTGATGATTTGACATATAGTTTAAAATATTTGTTTTAATTTCTGAGTGCGACAGCCAGAAAAGCCAATGGCAGGAAATGTCTCAGCCCCCAAATCCCAACACTTTAAATGAGTGGTTTATAGAGTATATCTTCAAGCTAGAAAGATCTCATTAAATATCAGATTAACCCTATAATGCCAAATGTATCATATTTGATACATAAGGTTTCTGAAATGACACCTTTTGCATAATTTAATGGTAAAAACTTTGCTTAAAATCCTATTGTACACAATCAGATACACCTGATAACAGGGGGCAGAAGACTACACGAAAAATAATCTTGACCTATCACATAGTAATAAATTGTTCATATTAAACATGTATTTTAGTTTTTTCTTTTTACATATTTTTTTAAAAGGCCAAATATAGGCTTCAAACAAAAAAAAAAGTAAGTTTCTGTTTTGTTTTATTCTTGGACCGGGCTTTAAAGGGTTAAAAACGAGACAAATTTGATGTAAAATGGTGGAATGAGTTAATAATTTAATTTAAATATAATGTAAATGGTTACTGTATTGTGTTTTCATTTATACATATGTATACTGATGTACAACAATGGCACAGCTTGAACTTTATGTTCTTTTTAACTGTATTTTGCACTAACTAAAACGTTTAAAACATTTTAAAAAATAACCAAGTAAACAAACAAACAAACGTTTTTGTGTTTGTGGCTTCCTCCAGGCGGTCCACACTCCCCTGCAGCCTCCCAAGTCCTACATCTACCCGTACCGGGACATGGCCAACGTGGCCAGGAGGAAGTTCGCCGCCATGGTTTCCACGGTGGACGAGGCGGTGCGAAACGTGACGTACGCCCTGCGGAAACTGGGCTACTACCGGAACAGCGTGATCGTCTACTCCACCGATAACGGCGCCCAGCCCTTCACGGGCGGCAGCAACTGGCCCCTGCGCGGCCGCAAGGTGAGGGCGGGCGGCCATCTTGGATTCCTCTGTTTTTTCCCCCCGTTTTGAGAAGCATCTGGCTGCATCCTGTGGGTTAAATCTAATGTAAATGGTTACTGTATTGTAATTTTATTTATATATATGTATACTGATGTACAACAATGGCACACAGCTTGAGTTGTAGATGTAGGACTTGGGAGGCTGCAGGGGAGTATTACCACATTAAGCCCCGCCCATATCAGGGACAGACATATTTGAAATGCTGACGTAACAGGAGAGGGAAGCACATCAGAAATTTTCTAGTTATTTTTATCGTTAAAAAGTATATATATACAGGACTGTCTCAGAAAATTAGAATATTGTGATAAAGTTCTTTATTTTTTGTAATGCAATTAAAAATCCGATATTCTAATATTTTGAGATAGGATATTTGGGTTTATTCAGCTGTACGCCATAATCAGCGATATTAAAACAATAAAAGGCTTGCGATATTTCAGTTGATTTCATGTTTTTTAATTGCATTACAGAAAATAAAGAACTTTATCACAATATTCAAATTTTCTGAGACAGTCAGTCGGTTGCGGTGGTGTGTTCTCAATTTAGTAATCTAGCATGGAAAAAATGGTTTTTTTTATCGTTAAAAACTATAGATACATATCGGCTGCGGTGGTGTGGTGTCAACCGTAACTGTAAAACAGTCATGAGGCGGAGGTACAATTTAGCATCGAAAAAAATGTTTTTATCGTTAAAAAAAAATATATATATTTATATATCGGTTGCGGTGGTGTGTTGTCAATTTAGTAATTTAGCATAGAAAAAAATGTTTTTTTTTATCGTTAATATATATATATATATATATATATATATATCGGTTGTGTAAATACAGTTCCGGTCATGAGGCGGAGGTACAATTTAGCATTAAAATTTATTTATTTTTATCGTTAAAAAATATATATATCTATACATTGGTTGCGGTGGTGTGTTGTCAATTTAGTATAGAAAAAAAAGTTATTTTTTATCGTGAAAAAAATATGTAGGTTGTGTCCCTGATGTGGGCGGAGCCCCGCCTTCCCGCAGGATGCAGCGGGATGTACTTGCCCGTTTTGTGTGTTTTTGGTGTTTGTGTCCGAGGTCGGGCCGCGAGTCGCCATCTTTGTTTTGTTTTGTTTATGTTTATGTTTATGTTTATGTTTATGTTTATGTTTATGTTTATGTTTTGTTTATGTTTATGCATTTGGCAGACGCTTTTATCCAAAGCGACTTACAGAGTAGACACAATATTGCATCTCTCATCACTATGACAACGCTATGGTGCTTTCAGGGCACCTACTGGGAGGGCGGCGTGCGCGGTGTGGCGTTCGTGCACAGTCCGCTGCTGAGGCGCCGGAGGAGGGTCTCCAGAGCTCTGCTGCACATCACCGACTGGTTCCCCACGCTGGTGGGGCTGGCGGGGGGGAACATAAGCCAGGTGGGTGTGGCCCGTAGTAACTACATTTAATTTCCTCTCAAGGCTTTTTCTTTTTGATCTGAGATAAATATCCCCAAAATGTAAAGTTTGAACATAAAAGGCAAAAAGCATCCTTATTCCATCCATATTCCATCCGTGACCGATTTTATCCAGCTTTATTAAACAAACTTCACAAGGTTTAAAGTCATTTATATGACGATGAGTTACTGTTGAGCTTAACTGGTAAAACAGGAAGTTGCCTTCAGAATAAAAGCATCTTTATTCCATCAATCCACGCGTGACCGATTTTATCCAGCTTTATTAAACAAACTCCAGAAGGTTTAAAGTCATTTTTGGACATGTGTTACACATGAGTTACTGTTCACTGAGCTTAGCTGGTAAAACAGGAAGTCGCTGTCAGAATAAAAGCATCCTTATTCCATCCATCCACACGTGACCGATTTTATCCAGCTTTATTAAACAAACTTCAGAAGGTTTAAGGTAACTTTTATGACGATGAGTTACTGTTTACTGAGTTTAGCTAGTAAAACAGGAAGTCGCCTTCAGAATAAAAGCATCCTTATTCCATCCATTCCTTTCCGTTCGTCCCGCAGAGCCGCGGTCTGGACGGGTTCGACGTGTGGCCCACCCTCAGCGAGGGAAAGGAGTCGCCCCGGCAGGAGATCCTGCACAACATCGACCCGCTGCACAGATCCCCCCCGGAAAAGGCCCCCGGCCCCCGGGCCAAAGCCCCCCCAGGTAAGCCCCCATCAGGGCTGAAACTCTCCCCTCTGGCAGAAGGTTGAGGACCATCAGGACCAAAACCTCACGCCATAAAGACAGTTTCTATTAAGCAGCAACTGGCCTCATCAACGAGGACAGCGACCCACCCCTATTCTTCTCCCACCCCCCTCTATCTCACTAATTTACCCAATGCTTTCAGCATTTTCTGGTCTGTCGTTGCAGATCAACATTGCAATCAGCATTTCAATTGTTCATTTGTACATTCGGATCTATATTTTTAAAGATTGTTCATTTGTACATTCGGATCTATATTTTTAAAGATTGTTCATTTGTACATTCGGATCTATATTTTTTAAAGATTGTTCATTTGTACATTCGGATCTATATTTTTAAAGATTGTTCATTTGTACATTCAGATCTATATTTTTAAAGACTGTATTTTTCAGTTTTATCATTTCTGTCCTATATTTTTATTTCTACATTTTATTTCTTGCTTCTCATAGAAGTGTTATGTTGTGCAGTGCACCAAACGCCAAGGCAAATTCCTTGTAAGTCTAAAAACCTACTTGGCAATTAACCTTATTCTGATTCTGATTGCTGCTAAACGGCGTCTGGTTTCTGTTTCTGCAGCGAGCTCCTCCGAAGACCCGAAAACCAAGAAGAAGAAGAAGAAGAAAAAGAAGAAAACTCTTAAACAGAAGCCCAATAAGAAGTCCAGCTTCAAGCTGAAGAGCTCCAAAAAACCCGGCGTATCCAAAACCGTCCCCCACTACGGGCCTCAGATCCAGTCCAGCGGGGTCCCCCCCCAGTCCCGTCCCAGGGCCAGATCCAAACGGGCCACGACCCAGAACGGGACCCCCCAGCCCGGCCCCCCCCCCCCCGCCCTGGGACGCCTCCGTCCAGGCCGCCATCCGCGTGGGCGACTGGAAGCTGCTGACGGGGGACCCGGGCCACGGGGACTGGGTCCCCCTCCAGGTGAGACCCGCCTCTTTACCGGTACCTCCAGGTGGGTCAGACCCAGAGATGTTTAGATCAGTGTTTTTCAACCACTGTGCCTCGGCACACTAGTGGAAAAAAGAAGAAATACATTTTTAATTAATAATAATTTATTACTATGTGATAAGTCAAGATTATGTTTTGTGTAGTCTTCTGCCCCCTATTATCAGGTGTATCTGATTGTGTACAATAGGATTTTGAGCAAAGTTTTTACCATTAAATTATGCAAAAGGTGTCGGATGCAAAACATTTCAGAAACCGTGTGTATCAAATATGATACATTTGCATCCACCACACATGCACATAGAGCAGTGTTTTTCAACCACTGTGCCTCGGTACACTAGTGTGCTGTGAGTGATGGTCAGGTGTGCCGTAGAAAATCATCCTATTTCACCTAATTGGTCTAAAAAGACTTTTTGATAAGGAATTAATTATCTGGAAATAATATTCCATTTTTGAGTGTCTGTGCTGTACTAGTGACTGGTGGAGTAATCATGTAATCATTCCTTATGACTGGGACCCCTCCAGGTGAGACCCGCCTCTTTACCTGTACTTCCAGGTGGGTCAGACCCAGAGATAACCCAGACCCAGTGTTTGGGAGGAGTGGTGGTGTAGTGGTTAGCATAGCTGCCTTCCAAGCAGTTGACCTGGGTTCGATTCCCGGCCAATACAAGTATAAGTACAAGTACTGTGTATATTAAAAAAAGGCAGTCAAATGTAATAGATATTGTTTATATTATTTAAAACGTGTGAAAGGCCATACAGGTGTTTACAAAAAACAGAAAACTACATCTGCATTAGCAATCAACAGCACTTCATCTACTATTATTTATTATCCCAGAGTCAGAATCCTGAGCTGAGCCTTTATGCTAGCATGTAGCATACAGCTAGCCAGCTAGGTTAGCTTTAGCTAATGTTATCATACAGCTAGCCAGCTAGGTTAGCTTTAGCTAACGTTAGCTGCTACGTCCTGAGTGAACAGGGAGAACTGAACTAGTGCTTATTTACTAGCTTATATGTCATTGTATGATATGCTTATTCAGATTAGATGGGGAATTCTTGAAGGCTATAATTAACAATCTTTTGGGAGGCTTTTTCTAATAGGCTATGCTTGATCATTCAAATCGCCAATGAGGAGCCATCTTCACAAACCCAGACAGAGCTATCTATCATTACGTTTACATATCAGTAACGAGTAACGATTCAGCCCGTGAAAAATCGATCGGAGTAAAAGTATTGAAATAATCAAAAATATTTAGTGGAGTAAAAGTAAAAGTAGGGGGAAAAAAATATGTTTATGTTTATGCATTTGGCAGACGCTTTTATCCAAAGCGACTTAAAGAGTAGACACAATATTACATTTATCATCACTATGACAATAAGCTATACAGAGGAGAAACACTGATCAGAGTCAGTGGTGAGATAGAGATAGATATAGATATATACTCCAATAAAGTACAAATACTGCATTTTGGTACTTAAGTAAGTACTTTTTGTACTGAAGTACAAAACTTAAGAAGTAGTTCTACTTCGTTACTGAACATCTCTGGT